CATACTTCTCCAGAGGGATAGCATGACGAACGAAGCTTCGAGATGATATTTTGAAGAAATAACCATTGGACACTTCTATCAAGTTGAAGTCGAACTCGATTTGCTTGATTATCTCGCAAGCAGGGTGGGATAAGATTTTAATCAGCGTCGTCATATGTTTCAGGATCTTTGCGCGGAGGACTTCGTTTACCAATAGTTTGTTAATGTAACTGCCAACGTCCATCATTTTAAGATAGGCGGTGGTTGCGTCTGTCGGTTTAGCATGGACATCGCCTCGGTGTAGGGCGTGGATGGATATCTTCATCAATTTCCCTATCTTTGCGATCGTTGCAGACAACTCGTCGGTGGTTGAAGATAGGACAGCGCCATCTATTTGTGCAGTGAGCCTTGATTCCATGTCCATCGTCATTCCGTCTGCCCTCAATTTCATGGTCGCCTCTTGTAGTGGAGCGTCGAATTCGGAACAATTCACTACGACCACACGGCACGGACATGTTGGATAACGTGCGCGACACATCGATGGACGCGCGTCCTCTTCGCTGTCTTCCGCTGACGTAGTTCGCTGGCAGTTTGCCAAACAATAGTCGTTCGAAGTCTTCAGCATGTCCATAATCGGCTGGCTATTGTGATCTTTCACGACCGAGAATAATTGTCGGGAGGCAGTTTCCATAACATTGCTATTTCCATTTGCCCTGGTGATGATCGGTTGGACGGTAGCGTCGGTCTCCTCGTTGTGCAGTAAGGTGTAGATTTTCGTGTCTGTACACAAATCGGTTTCTCGGAAAACAATGAAGAAGGCAACAGCAGGGTAGAAGTCCTCGAGCGACTCTTCGTCTCCGGCGGATGCTCGTTTTGCATTTGTTGCAACGGCCGTCACGCTTGATATCAAAAATTGGACGCCACTAACTTTGGTCAACGCATCCTCCAACTCGAGCCTTTTGCTGGCAATAAGATTGTGCGCCATTTGTCGGTCTTCCCTTCTTACACGCCATGTCGCTCTGCAGCCGATTGCCTTTAAATCACCCTTGACCTGTAAAGGTATTGGCGTATACCAATAAGTTAACGTTTACATAATGATTTAGTTATTTGCAATGGTACGTACTAGCTGTACTGTAGGATGGAACCTAAGTAATTTACATGGGGAAAATATTGCAATTGTAAATAACGAAAAGCGACCAAAACTTACCAGTGGCAATATATTTGCTCTTAAAGAGTTTCGCACTCTCTTCGACGTTAGTTCTTTCCGTGGCCGTCGAGCCGCCATAGTTTTTGTATACAAAAATAGTCTTCGATTAGCTTTAAACTTCTAAATACCACAAGGTTTGCATTCGTTCACGAGTAGATGAAATGAGAACGAAATAGGACGTCTACATTTCCTTTATTCATTAATAAAACGTTTAGCTTTTATGTATTTGCATATAGGAACAATAATTTGTGACTTTGGTCATAACCACCATCATCATAACCACCACCATAACCATAACCACCATCATCATAACCACCATCATCATAACCACAACCATAACCATAACCACCATCATCATAACCACCATCATCATAACCACCATCATCATAACCATAACCATAACCATAACCATTATAACCATCACCATCATAACCACCACCATCACAACCGCCATCATCATAACCTTAACTACCATTGTCATAACCATAACCACCATCATCGTAATCATAACTACCATCATAATAATCATAACCACCATCATCATAACCACCATCATTATAACCATAACCATAACCATAACCATAACCATAACCATAACCATAACCATAACCATAACCATAACCATAACCATAACCATCACCATAACCATTATAACCACCACCATCATAACCAGCACCATCGTAACCACCACCATCGTAACCACCACCATCATAACCACCACAATCACAACCGCCATCATCATAACCTTAACTACCATCGTCATAACCATAACCACTATCATCGTAATCATAACTACCATCATAATAATCATAACCACCATCATCATAACCACCATCATCCTAACCATAACCACCATCATAATAACCATAACCACCATCATAATAACCATAACCACCATCATAATAACCATAATCACCATCATCACTCTTACCATCACCAACATAAACACACACTATCATGGCTACTACTATAAAATTTCTATCTTATAGACAAATTGATAAAGATAAGTTTTAATATAACATCGCTACTTTGAAGTCCTCAAATTTCATATATTTCTTTCTAGTCTCTCTAACAAACAAGAGGAAAGGTCCCGCTTCCATGCGACATATTGGAGGCAAGTGTATTCACGTTTTAGGGGGCGCTTTCACAAAACCAAAAGTGGGACAATTCCTTGTGATATACGACGGATGTGTAAAAGACAGGCTGGAGTTCCAGCTCTGGCCGAGTGGAATACTGCTGCTTACTAGATATGGCATGTGCGTGAAGCCTACTGGCCCGGTGACTGATGGAGTGCGGGTTGGTAAAAAGTTTGAGATATATTTCTTGATACAACGTGTTAACGCTGAACGAGAACAAACAGACATGATGGATTATAAATATGGCGTATTTAATCTCTACTAACTTTATTATCAGTGGATACATTACCTACCTACCTACCTACCTACCTACCTACCTACCTACCTACCTACCTACTTACCTACCTACCTACCTACCTACCTACCTACCTACCTACCTACCTACCTACCTACCTACCTACCTACCTACCTACCTACCTACCTACCTACCTAGCTACCTACCTACCTACGTACCTACCTACCTACCTACGTACCTACCTACCTACGTACCTACCTACATACCTACCTACCTACCTACCTACCTACCTACCTACCTACCTACCTACCTACCTACCTACCTACCTACCTACCTACCTACCTACCTACCTACCTACTCACCCACCAACATATTTATCTGCCTCTTTTTTTAAGGTGGGTGTTTTCAGCAGTTGTAATGCGACAGACACGTGGAGTTGGACTACCCGAGGATCACTGCAATACAAAAAAAAAATGTGTCTTAAGCCTGAAACTGGAGGGAGGAACCCATACAATAATGCAGAGCTCGTGCTTGACTCAGTCTGTGACGAGCCAGAAAACTTATTCGAGTTTATGCTCGGTAGGTATCCCTCAGTGCTTTATATAACTGACCGTCTTACGTGAATTGTCAATGATGGCAATCTGTGTGTTATTTACATGCCAAAGGAAAGCGGTTGTGAGTCACATACTTTTAACTAACTTGGTTTATATTGGGAAACTGTGTCAATTGTAAACTGTTCTTCCACGAATTCCAGTTAGAGTTATTTCTTATTGATCCAGTGTTAATACAGGAGGAAACCTATAAACTATACTAACTTTATTTATGCTGGTAGCTTTTATTCGTCCAGTTCTATAAACTGTTCTTTGTAGAAATCCAGTAAGGACCATTCCTTATTTGGTCAGTTTTACTACCGAGTACCCGAGAAAACCTGCGCTGTTTGGTATAGTCAAATCATAGATAGTGTGTTTATCACCACGGAAACAGAAGTACTCTTCTCACACTGCAACTAAGGGAAATTAAAATCCAACAACTGCATATTACAGAAAGAATGTTACATGCAGCAAACACTATGCCGCTAACACTGTATACACTTTCCTGCAGGCTCCCTTCAATCTACTCTCTCTAGCTTCTCAGGCTTGATTAACCAACATCACGTTTCTTATTTCAGTCAATTCAGCATTTGGTTGGTATTTATACATTGGACCAAGGCAACCGAACAACAAAGCTCGGTTGATCTCACCATCGACAACAAAAGCCAAATCCTGTCTCCTCTTTTTTTACTACATGTACGGCTATTACGTAAACGAACTTCGGGTATTTACTTTTATTTATCTATTTATTTATTTTGATTTATATATTAACTTTCCCAAACAGTTCATGTGCCAGTCTCATGGCATCAGGTGATCTAGGTCAACATACCTTATTGAAGTGAATTAGTGAAAGTGTGAAATCTTTCGTTGTAAAGATTTTGAAATGAACAAACCTGACTATACTATATTTTCTCGATCTTTGTGGTGACGAGTACCGTGCAACCTATTGTAGAACCTGAAATAACATTCAAAAATTGGTCGAAAAATGTCCAACCAAAGTGAAACTTGATTGGAAACTTTATGGTTCCGCCATAATTAGAAACTTTATGGCTCCGGCAATGGCTCCGCCATTACTTTATTTCATTCTAACTCCTGACATCCATCATCCTCGTACCCAGGGTCTTTTTGGAGAAGACCCTGGTATTTTCTGGTCACGTGACTCTACCAAAAATAATTGCCCAAGGGGGAGTGGCAAAGTATCAAATTACATGCTTCCACAGAAAACGTTAAATTTCAAATACCAGGAGTGGGTTTACGATACATAGTTCGAAGCGCCCGCTAACTTCTATTTTATACTTCTGTTTGCTTTTAAATTACAAAAACACTGTAGCACTTATCAACAGTCAAGTCAAGAAACAAATAAGATCGTCTATTTTAAAGTTTGAAGTTGGGTATTCACTCTCAAACATATTTTCATAACAAACCGGTCACATATCAAACAAGTCACATGCATGAGTATTTGTTTTGTAACATACACGCACAGAAGAGTCTTTGACTTATCTTTGAGTAGGCTATTGTCGGACTATTTTACCATGGGTTTGATAACAGGGAGCTAGGTATACTTCGACATATCTCTTGAGCATCAAGTTTCAGCGAAGTCAATGTCAATGTTGAATGTTTCACAGCGCTTTTAAGACCCTTTTAATAACAGTCTGAGTAGCGTTGTAACAGCCACATCTCAGTGTAGAAATATATTTTCTTGTAACGTTTGTGACGACGTGTGATTTCTACGACCAGCCGTATAGCATAATTTGTCTATTGAAATCTGATCTATCTTTTGCTCACCGACATTTTACGCACAATGACCGAGAGAAAATAGCCTGGATACGAGGTTGGGCATCAATTGGGTAAATTACGGCAATATATAAATATTACTTTATGCCAAACACTATACAGTATAATTTAAATAACAGCTAATTTGCTATTTATGTTCGGCCAAATATCCGGACAATCTGGTATTCGATCGGATAAAACTGTAATTTTTTTCTATGCTATTTCAGGCTTTTCTATCGTGAACTGAAGCACATTCATACACTGACAAATATATATGTATAATTTCAGGTCTACGTGAAATCTGGGAGTAATATGTATCCAGTTTGGAGTCTTTCTGGAGAGCAAGGTGACAAATGGTATCAAGCACAAGTGGCTGTGAACAATCAAACGGCGTCATATCAGGTGAGCATGCATGTAGACCAGTGAGCATTGAATATAACTGAATCCAAAGATAGTAGATATAGATGGGCAAGGTCTTTGCTAGGATTTTTGATTTTGAGAGTGTTTTCAAATTTTCAGGGTGTCAGGTACTTGCCAATTAAGAATGTAGCTACGTAGTTTTTTGTTCTTACCACATATGCCATCATACTGTGTATCTATAACTGAACAGACAACGGTTAAACGTAATGTATTTGTTAAATAGTAAATATTAATAATTAAAATTGTCAATTGCCACATAATATTGGTATACAGCTATTTCAATTAAGGTTGTCCAAGAGCAAAGCGGAAAAGTCGAATACGAGCGCGAAAGGCTGCTTGGAATCGCAAACAAATTAATGAATTTTCAAAGCGATTCCCAGTGTCCACGAGCCGCCTAGGCGAGGGATCACTTTTTGTTCTTACCACATATGACGTCATACTGTCTATCTATAATTGAACAGACAACGGGAAAATGTAATCTATTTGTTTTATATGATAAAATTGAAAATATTCTCAAAATAAACAGGTGAACAGATCATTTTAATCCCCCCAAACATTTGGAAGTTGAAATTTTGCAAATATCTCCTGTTCATGATCTATACAAATAACGAAATGCTATTGGCTCGCTTAAGTAACGTGCTGAATTCTGATTTGCTAAGCTGAGAAAGGAAAATATAAAAAATGTAAAACCAGGGAAAAACCATTGTTTTACGAAATAAAAACGTGTGATAAAAAATAAATTGTTTTGTTCTGAGCGACTGTGGTGATTGAAAAGATTTAAACATTCCTTATGTTCTTTGTATGTTGGCATGGTGATAAAATATAATAGGTTTTGTTTGTGGAAACACCACGTAAATTTATTACTGCAAAGCTTTCGATCCGTAAGCCCGGATCTTCATCAGTGCTAATAATATGTGACTTGTTTAATTCACACGCTCTTTTTATATACAAAAGTTACTGCTAAATCTGCAAAAGATAAAGCTACACTTTTCAACGCGTACTTCTCTTCCGTATTTCGTTCACCTTCCACAGGTTCAAAATCAGGTATCTGTAATCTGCTTCAACCATTAGAAATTGAGGAGCTTTCCAATATAACACTCAATGCGGAAGAAGTTGCGCGAAGTTTGTACAATCTTGACACATCCAAAGCGTGTGGCCCCGATGGCATTCCAACTCGTCTTCTGCAAGAATGCAGCATCCAAATTGCACCCAGCATTTGTGAACTATTCAATCATTCGCTGCACACCGGTCAGATCCCTTCTGAATGGAAATCTGCCAATGTTACGCCTATCCACAAGAAAGATCGTAAAGAACCAGCCGAAAATTATAGACCTATTTCTTTGCTCCCCATCCTTGGAAAAGTTCTAGAACGTGGCGTGTGTTTCAGACTTTACGATCATGTCAAACATCTCATCACCAAATTTCAACATGGTTTCCTCAGACAACGTTCATGTGTCACTCAGCTCCTATCTGTTCTTCATACTATCGGACAATCTCTCGACAAGAACACCCAAACAGACATCGTTTACCTAGATTTTGCAAAGGCATTTGACATTGTTGACCACAATATTCTTCTCCACAAACTTAAACAGTATGGCGTATCAGGACAGTTGTATGCATGGTTCGAAGACTATCTGAGCGGTCGTTGTCAACGAGTTGTGGTAGATGGAGTTCCATCTTCCTGGGCACCTGTAACATCTGGTGTGCCACAAGGAAGTATCCTAGGACCTGTTCTGTTTGCGATCTTTATAAACGATCTTCCAAATGTACTACCAGACGAGACCTCGGCAGCATTGTATGCAGATGACACCAAAGTGTACAAATCAATTAAATCGGAAGATGACTGTCAAATTCTGCAACACGCCTTGACCAGCCTTGAATGTTGGAGTCATGATAACAACCTAGATTTCAACCAGTCGAAATGTAAGGTGCTGACCATCACACGAAAAAAGACTCCCCTCGTGCATGTCTACCACATGAATTCAAAGGAACTCTTGCGTGTGGATAAAGAGAAAGACCTTGGTGTTTGCGTCAGTGCCAACTTCAATTGGGATGTTCACATCCACACAATCACTAGTAAGGCCAACAAGATGCTCGGGCTGCTTAAACGAACTTGCCCTCTTTTGAGAGACAAAACAGTACGACGAACTCTGTATCTCTCGCTTGTTAGATCTCAGCTATGTTACGCTAGTGAAGTCTGGTCTCCACACACTGTCAAACTCAAGTCTAGAGTCGAAAGCGTCCAAAGAAGAGCCACCGCGTGGATACTACAATCCAAGCATGGCGAAATGACATACCAACAACGGCTAATGAATCTCAACCTGCTCCCCCTCTGCTATGAAAGAGAGATTTCTGATCTGGTATTCTTCTTCAAGGCTCTCTTTGGCAACACAGATTTGGACGTTAACACCTTTGTCTCCTTTTCCAACAACAATCGGACCCGACTCTGTCAAAATCCCTCCCTCACCCTTAAAGTCCCCCTCTGTAAATCCAACACATTCAAAGCATCCTATTTCAACCGACTAGTTAAAATATGGAACTATACCTGT